ACACGAGTGAAAATTGAACCCTTCGCTGCAAACTACGAATCCTCAACCGCACTATTAAAAGAAATCTAGTTTTTGGTTCATTAAGTATAACGGCCTGATCTAAAGGGTACAGTCATATCCATCCATCCATTCAAACGTTTGAATTCACATATAAACCCAATAAAGTGGCTGGGGGGATAGCCGCCGTGGTATATCAGTGGTAGAGCATCGAACGCGTTATTCGAAGATCACAGGTTCGGTTCCTGCTCACGGCAAGTTATTCTTTCACCCACTCTTGTTTCTTCACATTTACATTACCATTGGGTCTAATATTTTCTCCTACATATTTCTTGTCATTATTGTCTGTTCGATGTCATTAATATTGTATCAAACCCCAGAAAAACAGGCCCTTACGTATACACTTCTTTCTGATATATAATATATAATATATATATAATATATATATATATATATATATATATATATATATATATATATATATATATATATATATATATATATTTATATATATATATATATATATATATATATATATATATATATATCCAGTAGATCCTTCGTGAGCGGTCACAACGTGGTTTATTTCGACGTTTCGGCCTAGAGTGTGGCCTTCATCAGGATATTTATATATATATATATATATATATATATATATATATATATATATATATATATATATATATATATATATATATATATATATATATATATATATATATATATATATATATATATAATGTCACTGTGACTTGACAGCGACGCGGTTCATTCTGTGTTTCCGCACGGGCCCTCACAGCCGCGGTGACTTCCCTTCGCGACGCGAAAAAAAATTAATGCACGAATACTTATGGACAAAACATGTGTATACAGTTAAGTGCCCACGAGATAAAGTGCTTCTGTGATAAACGCTTTGATATAGCTTACGCTGCGTTAAACCACACATGTCAATCACTTGCATCTCAAAATCGGGTGTACTCTACACAACAGTCGCAAACTTATGACCTAGCTAATATACCACTTGAATTTTTACACATCATTGTACATTTGATCATAATTCAGCAAATGCTACGACATTGGGAACATAACTGCAATATTTAAGCCCAGCGATCTATACGTAAGGCTGCCGCGCAGTTCGGAGCGCATGTCACTACTGCGGCAATAATCCACTCTCGTGTGGCCTTTTTTTTTTTTTCGCTATAGCATACTGATTATCTCGTGCTTCTTGCTTCCTACGAAGTGACACTGGTTGTATCAACAACATTGCACCTGATGTTGCCAACAAGATCCCATTACGGCCTGATGTGTACAGTCGCGGGCGCCGTGGACGACCAGGAAAATGCAGCATGCCCCTTCGCGCGCTCCCTGTCGTTAGATTTCCGCGTACCGACTGCTCACGTAAAAAGGCGCACGCACTCTTTTGAAGATTTTGCAAGAGCAATGCTGCTCGCGATCTGGCCGAGCGCTGGCTAATTGCCATAGACGTCAGACTCTGGCCAGGCGGCGATGCGGAAAATGCCACCACCACCACCACGTGGTGGTGGTGGTGATGGTGGTGGTGAGATGAAAGAAAAGACGCTCAGCTATACATATGTACTGATGCGACACAAACACCCTCTTTCTTCGTGCTCCTTCCCTCAGTGCACGCCACTGGTCAAGCAGGTTTCCGGACAGTAGGCATAATGGCGCGCGTTTCCTCCCAACACATCTAGAGAACACAGCTAGCATGACGTGTACGTTCGAGGAATCTGAGCAACTGCGCTGTGCACCGCTTGTACAAAAGTGTCGAGGCTGGCGCATGAAAGTTTAACTACATGATGACTGCTATGACGCGCCTGATCTGGATTTTCATCAGTTCACATGTGATAATAATAAAACTAAATACATTCTTTCCTTACGGCATAAGATACAAATATTGAATCAACCAGATTGTTTTGCCCTACGAAAACAAAATTATTCGGCGTCCAGAGCTCAAATACGTGTGCCAAAGTTTCAATGAATTTTACAGTTAGCCTTTTGATTGAAAGTTTTACAAAATCGTCACCCGGGATTCTGCAATCTATATATGTTTCCACTACATTCTAATTTACAATAATTTATGAGCAGATGCACATATCCTTGGCATATCCTTATATGCACAGCCAGTCAACGTTCAAAACTTGACGTCCGGTCAGAGATCCAGTCCGGACGTCCAGCAAACAGCCACACGAGACATAGACTTTCCCAGTACATCCACTGGCTATCTGTGTTGGATATCCATACGGCCGGACATTTGTATTCACAATGAACAACCAGCGGATATCTGTGGTTACTTGGGAAGAGAACGCACTTAGGCCCTCCTCTGTCGTTGGTGTTGAGGCGCGGTTCCCTGATATTCAAGGACCTGGCAAGCTCCTAACGTCGATCCAACGTCGCTTCAGGAATGTAGCAAGCTCGTCAAAGCGCACTGTGGGTACAATGCCAATAATGTTTCAGTTTATTTCGTCATGCTGGGACTCGCAATTTAAGTGCAAGCGAGCGTCGCGTGACATCAAGTTCGAAGAAAGCACTCCAACGTAAGTTCTCTAACGCCTAAAAGCGTTAAATTTGGGCGTGCACATGATGTCAAAGCAATGAACTACATACGCGAGCAATATATCTTACTACATCAGAGTACTCGCTTTTTCTGGTGGCCACGGCGATTTTCGCCTTTACAGTTGCATTCTTCATCCATCTCACTCTTCTGGTTCTTAGATCTGTTCCATCTAAATCAGTGAAATCTATCATTGCGCCACTAACAAAGGACATGAGATAATCTTTCTATAGCTGCCTGGTTCCTGTAGGATTGGTGGTAACCACCTCGCCGACAGCGCTGCCTGTTGTGCCCACCACTGAAGCACCCACACTGCTCACACCCCTGTCAAGGGTTGATGCCGCATAAGGACTTCACCGCATCACGCATAATACCTCACTTATGCATTGGAATCTTCCACTGAACTCCACTCGACGCCCATCAGAACCTCGCCTTCATTACTTCAAATGAAGTCGTCATCAAAGACTTCACGCCAGGGACGCTACAATGCTGTATCGGTTGTGGGTCGGCGTTGCCTTCACCTATTCATTAAGTCATCGCATTGGTATGGCCGACTCTCACAACTGTGACAACTGTCATTCTGTAAAAACACTGAAACATCTCCTGTGCTAATGTCCAGACTTTGAAGAATATTGCCGGACTCTCCAGTGTGCCTTAAGGAGGCTGGATGATCGACCCTTTACTATGGAGGAGATCTTGCGAGCGTGGCCTTCACGTACTTGCAGCCCAGAAAGCCTACACGAGCCCTTCTACAATGCTTGAGGGCAACGTCACTGTGCAACCGCCTGTGAAACCTGAACTGTGTGTGTGGTGTGTGTGTGTGTTATGCTGCAATTTGTAGCCCCTCCTCCTCCTCTCTCTCTTTTTCTCCCTCACTCTCCTCTCCCCAGTGTATGGTAGCAAACTGGACTTAGTCTAGTTAACCTCCCTACCTTTCTGATTTTTTTTCCTTCTCTCTCTGTCTGTCTATTACGTATACTAGAAAGTTCTGTTGACGGCTGCCTTTTGTTTGTATGTACTGTTGCAAATTGTGTAGAGGACGAGGAGCGACATTATCATCATCGGGGATTAGAGGAGTGTGTTAGCAATAAAGAAGAGGTCGACGGGTCGGCTTCGCCATGGGCACGGCAGCTCGTCCTTTCCTTAACATGTACTACAAATGGTGATACATGCGTGTCCATTTTCTCGGTGTATACAACCAAAGGCGAAACCGAGGCCGTGCAGCATGTTTAACTCGGACGCTCCGACGCACAGCCTCGACTTGCTTGGACTGAGGTCAGCGCCGTCAAACGTCGAAAATGATATGCTTGCTGCAGTTGACGACCAATAGATAGAGCGCACGTCTGTCTCGCGAGTAAACTTGTGTTTCAAGTCTGCCTGAGCGGTGGGTTGAATGCACTTACTTGGTAACTGGCATCGCGTTGTCACCATACGTTTCGCTCGCGGCAACGTTATAGCACCTGTGCATGGCGTTTTTTGTATACTTATCTCTACAATGAACCATTGCATGGGACAGCTTACACGCACCTTTCGAGTTTGAACTCATAGCTACTGCTCAAACGAACTCACATGTATAAAAAGCAGAGCAAACGTACGTTCATGACATTTGTAAAAGTCACACAATAAATAAATTTGGAATGCCGTGGCGTTTTTTACGTTTTGTTTTATTAATTTTCAGACAGTGTGAATTGAACTCTTATTGCAATTTAGGGTGTACCTTCTTGTTCAGTACACGCTGCACAAAAGACGTGATCTTCGAGCACAAAGTTCCAAATTTTAAGCGCAGAAAATGATGATCCCATTTTACCATAGTTCATGTTGCAGAAAGAAAGCTTAAAGCCTTAAAATCATGATTCTGCGCAAATCTCACGCTTTAGTATTAGTACGCAACATACCATGAGGAAGGCGCTTACGGTGTAATGTAAAAAAGAGAATACACGAATCAAATTTAAACAAACCAGAAATGAGTACAATAGATTTCTGTGGAAGTGTGAAACCAGTCGAATTTATGCAGAAAGTGCATCACTATGCCATGGCTACTAAACCACTCATGTGCACTTGAATTTAAGGTATTTTAATTAACGTATTTCAACAAGTTTAAACAGTTTAACGTATTTTATATTTTATTGAGATAGCAAATATACCGAGACTCCATGTGCGATTTCACTATCGTCGCCGCCGAGGCAAGAGGACACGCACGGGACTCAAGGCGGAAGCGTTCCGACGACTCGCAATGCAAGCACACGAGCACTACTTCGACATAGGTGGAAGTTAAGCAAACAGTGAAAGTACAACAAAAATACTCGAGAGTACTGCATATTGGCGTTCCCCACAATCACATCTTGGTTTTTGAGCATATTATGCGAGAATAGCACATCTCGCATTTATTGGCAAAATTGCTTCGTTGTGTAATAACTTGACAGTACCTCACCTCAATTTCCGAACGATGCGGTCGTACCAGCCACTCCAGACGTAGCTGTTGCAGAGCAATGGCAGCGATAGGACCTCAGCCACGCAGTTTTCTGCTGCCAGCAGTCCGCACTTATACGTCACTTTATTTCATTATTTGCCGATGTTTAATATGAAGTAGATTGCACTTTTGTTCTTCTGTTACGGGCGACTGACGGTGGTGAATGACTAAGCTCTATAGGATTACTAACGACAAAGGTAAAGAACCCTGCCACAGCTGCTGTTGCTGCAAACCACGTGCTGGCAGAGTTCCTAACGAGGGCGGTAGATTCAACGTTTGGCGCGCGGTTATTTCGGCAGCTGTGACGTATCCGGCGACATTGCGCAATTTTGTGATGTCGGCACTAATTTACCAGAAAAAGAAAGACAGTAGACAGTCAACTATATTACTGACAATTTGGCGAACGACACGTGGTAAAATCGATAATTCAAGATTACGCACACCCTTTACATCTAACACTTATTAAAAGAATTCATCTTTAGATAAAGTCCACTTTGGGGTACAAAACTTTCGTCTGTCACCAGCTTTGCGAGTTCTCGAGCAGACAGATAAATGAATTCGACTAATAAATTTGCTAGAACAGTGGTCAGTAATCCTTTGAAGCGAAGAACCGAGTTACATGCAGCCAGCATGGCGAGTGCCGCATGACCTATGGAAGGCGGGAGGGGGGGGGACAGGCAAAGCAAGGAATAAAAATTCGCCGAATTGGAATGACAACAATGTAGGCAGACTGAAAGGGTAACGTTAATTTCCGGCTCGCATGTTGTAATGTTTACAAACACACAATATATAAACGTAAATTAGAAGCAAGAAATTGGGGGACCCTTAAGCTTCACCTTAACAGTTGAATGCGATAGCGACATCTGGCTCCAGCGCGCCCTTCAACCGCTAAGTGCATACTTATTAATAGGGAGTTTTAGTGCTGGGTACGCAGGCGGCTTGCGTACGTAGGACGATGGGGCGGCGGTATTGCGCATGCGCGAAGCCCCAAAGAGATGCGTCGCAAGATCGCTGGGGCGATGCGTCTGTGCGGCCATAAACAACGCTGCCACCACTGGTCTCCGCTGAGATAGGCTGCCGTGGCACACATGCTGGCGCATCATGTTACCTTGACGGCGAGCAAAGCTGAGGCTGGCCTGAGCCACCACTTTGACTTTTAAGTTTTAAGCGCAAATATTATAGTGGCTAGCCACTATACGAATAGCATGGCACAAAGTCGCGAAATCTCGAACAGCATGGATCGGCCACCTTGTAAGGTCCACCTTCGCGAAAATTCACGGTATCCGCACTGCGGATACTCTTGCCGTCGAGTTAAAATAAGCCAAAGTGCGATCACTTATAGCGATTACACGGTTTCAGCCAGATTTCCACAGCTAGAATGGCCTGGAACATAGAACTAAAAATTTGCCATCTCCCGACCAGCTGACAAGGTGGCGCCATCTAGCGAGGTCATAGTGAAACAGACAACCACACTTTTGTTATAGCAGAAACATTGTGCATGGTACATCTGGTGCAAAAACTGCGCAGCGACAATATTACAAATGAGTAACGATTTTATTCATTTTCACCTCAGAAACATTACGCGTAAGCTAACATGTTCATGACTGTGGTTGCACGAAGTGTCACAAGATGTCGACACTGCCGTTACATTAACCTTGTCTTTTCACTTTTTTGCGTATACCAGGATACTGTACACAATAAAAAGTGTCCTGATCACTATGTATGTTTAATTTAACATTTTAAATCATAAAAATACCTAAATAATACTTACACGACAAGACGCTATGGCGCTGCGAGCGCGTGTGACCTTCGTGCGGCTTGCGTTTGCGTGCGTGCCACCGTGGTGCCAACTAAAAGGAATTCCGGTTGGGTATGGGTTGGGCACGCAACGCCGCACGCTCCCAAGCCCGCAAGGCCCCAAGAGAATGCGTACCCAGCACTAAAACTCCCTAATATGTTTTGGTACACACACGCACACCACACGCGCGCGCGCACACAAGCGCAACGTATCTATAGTAATGCAGTGACTGTGCAGTGTGGCCACTTCCCTTCGCTAGAACGGCGCTCTCTTGTAGTCGAGACCCGTTTTTCACGATATCTATCAGATGGCACACAGACACACACACATACACGCGCGCACGCGAATCGTACATACAAAGTTTTTTATCTAAAGCAAAAGTCGCATGGCCTCCAAGATACACGCTGTGCACTTGCCATCTGAGCGGCCATTGCCACCTAGATCGGGCGGTAGGTGGTGGTAAAAACATTTAATTAAAAAAACAGGGGGTATGCAGCGACCACCTCATCAGAGGACGGCACCCACAACGAGCAGGTGGGGATCCCAAGCTCAGGACCCCATTTGCGTCGGCTGCTGCGCGCGTGGCGTGTGTCCGCGCCAGACCCAGGCGGCCGTGAAGAGGCCATACAGAGTCTCACAATGCCTCACAGATGGCAGCACATTATCTAACGTTTGCTGCTAGCTTCGGGACTTCCTTACAGACAGACAGTCACTATCCACATAGGGGACCTTAAATCTCAACCCATCATCAATGGGTGATTTCGATACTCGTCAAGGAACTGTCCTTTCCCCGCTCTTCTTCAATATCGCCCTCATGCGCCTCCCGGAGGCACGTCATATATGCTGATGACGTCACAATCTGGAGCCGGTCTGGTAACCTGGGTCAGATAGAAGAAGCCTTCCAACAGGCCGCCTCAATCGTAGGAAAGATAGGACGCAAGAGTGGTCTGTAGTGCTCCCCCACCAAATCAGAAATCCTAGTATATAGAAATAAAGCATCTGACAATACATCCCTCAACGTACAACACAATAGAACGCAAATTAAAGAGGTTGAAACCATCCGAATTCTGAGGGCCCACTTCAATAATCGGGGCAACAACTCATTTGATTTATATAAACTAAAAACGTCCTGCCTACAAATCTCTCGCATGATTACTCGGGTGGTGAACCGACGACGAAGGATGAAAGAACACGACATAATGCGACTCATTCAGGCATTTGTTATCAGTCGCATAACCTATAGCTTTCCTTACTTGAGCGTCTAAAAAGCATACGAGCCCAAAATAGACAGAGTCGTACGTGTGACTCTCAAGAAGGCTCTGAACCTTCCCCCGTAGACACTCACGAAACGTCTGCTTCAAATGGGGCTCTACAATACCGTATCAGAACTATTCCACCCACACCACGAGAATCAAATCATGCGCCTCGTCATCACTAAAACGAGATAAAAACACTATCAGAACTTTGCATCGATGCCCCCATTGAGAGAAGGGTACTACAACGTATCCCACATTAATGGAGGCAGGAATTCATCATCAAACCACTTCCACGCAACATGCATCCTTACTTCCACGAACATCGACGTCGGGCACGAGCAAAAGTTCACGACAACTACTCAGATACTGAGGGCGCCTTCTTTGTCTATGCAGCTGCACTAGTGAACGGCAAATATACAGCAAGCGTCATTAATTGTAGAAAACAGGTTGATTGTATATCAGCCCAGGACACAGACACAACTAGTATGGAAGAAGCAGGGATCGCCCTCGCCCTACGAAACCGAAGGTCCACTTTCGTTCTAACAGATTAAAAAGCAGCCTACCGAAATTTTCGTAAAGGCTACACTGGCACCATTGCACAACTTCTTACACAACTCTTCTCCTCACGCTCGAGAGGGCGAATGGAAACAGCTGATATGGATACCAGCCACTGCGGAGTTAGAGGCAATGAGCTCGCCCATGCTTTGGCCCGAGAATCACTCTTCCGGACCTCCCACCCCGGCATATCGCACCCACCCTCGGCTATGCGTATGGACCCGTTCCTAACGTACACAGATATTCTAGAACATCATAGACTCGAAAGACGGAAACTTCCGCCCTGGGGCCAAAGCTCAGTAAAAAATCTCAGGTAGCGTGGCGTCACCTGCAGGCCTGGTCTTACCCTAATTTATACATACTGCAGGTCCAAGATAAATCCTGACACATACACACCACAGGGCAGGTTTTGAGTCACTAAAACAACCATCCTGTACCACATGGTATGGGCATGCCCACACAATTTCCCTCTACAACCCAGAGCACAGCACAACACTGTAGGATGGGAGGCAGCTCTGTCCAGCTCGGATACGAAGACCCACGAGGCCCTCGTGAGACGAGCAAGGACAGCGGCCCGTGCCAATGGGATCCCGGACTAAGGCGCCCACTCACCGACACTCCTTCCTCGGTCGCAAATAAATGTTTTATTATCTCTCTCTCTCTATGCTAGCTTGATCAGCGCCTCTGAAAAGGCATGATATTGCCGCGCGTATGTGCCAGTGGTGAGGACAACGAAGCAGCGCGAGTGTCCTTGGCCAAGGGAAAAAGACGAAGAAGTCGTTGCAGTCTATTTTCTGCGATCGCTAAATCGTATTTGTTTGAGGCGCTTTGTGTGCTCGTCAATCTCGCGTCGTCACACTGGTGGAAGTGCGGGGTACGTCTTCATGCTTGGCACCCCTTCGCGGACCCGACATTCAAGCCCGGAATCACTACCATCCGTCGACACACCAGTCCACCGTTCCAGCCGCCGTCTGCGAGGCCTAGCTCCCGAGCTCAATTCCTTTCCAGAAACTGCCAGTAATCGCTTGCCTCCTTCAACCACCATGGCCACTGCAGGTACATCACACATGACACTTCAGAATCCCATGATTCCTGACTGCTTTCATGGTGAGACCTATGAAGATGCACAAGACTGGCTGGACCAGTTCGAACGCTGCGCGAAGTACAACCAGTGGGCCACCCCAGAAGACAAGCTCGCGAATGTGTACTTCTACCTGAAAGACAACGCCCAGACGTGGTACATCAACAGGGAAAGAAGCATGGCTACGTGGGACGACTTCCGCAACCAGCTGATCGACACCTTTAGTAGTCTTGACAGAAAGGAGAATGCGCAACGTCTCTTGGAAGCTCAAATTCAAAAACCAAACGAGAGCGTCGCTATGTTCGC